CCCGCCCCGCCGCCGCCGCCCGCGCCGCCGCCGCCCAGCCCCGACAGAATGAGAGCGTGCATGTCCAGGTCGGCGGCCGCCGCCTCGTCCTCCGACGACAGCTCCGGCAGCTCCTCGTCGCCCGGGCTCAGCCCGGCGTCCTAGGCACGCGCGAGCGGCGTCAAGGAAGGTGGCAGAGACGGGGATCCCACACAGAGGAACGGTGGTCAACATCAGAGCGTTTCGACAAACGCACAGTGGGGAATGTTTGTCAAAATCTTCGCTTTGACCAACGCACAATGAGGAAAGGTGGTCAAAGTTAGGGATTTTAAGAACCCGCAGCGAGGAAAGATGGCCGGAGACAGGGATCTTAAACCCACACAAAGGAACGGTGGTCAAAATCAGCGCTTCGACAAACTTTCAGCGAGGAAAGGTGGTAAAAAAATCAGCGCTCCGGAAGACTACATTGAGAAATGGGGTTCAAAATCTGCGCTCCGCCAGACCTACAGAATAATATAAGGTCAGCGTAATTGGTGCTCTAGCAAGCGCACGCTGCAAATTGCTGGTCAAAATCAGCTCGGGCGAATGCAGGAACAAAATGTGGTCAAATTAGGGTTCTTTTAAACCACACCGAGGAATGGGGGTTAAAAATCATCTCTCCGGAACAGTTAGATCAAGGAACGGAGGTCAAAGTCAGCGCTAGTGAAGACATACACCGAGGAACTAAAGAAAGTCAGCGCTAGGGCAGACGTACATCGAGTAACGAGGGTGAAAATCAGCGCTTGAACAGAGCCGACCAGGCAACGGTCCTCAATATCAGCATTACGGGTGCTTGCATGACAATTCATGTGGGTTCAACCTTTCGCAGCACAGCTGATGATCAGACTTCTGAATGGGCCCACCGTATATACTGAGACGTAATATCAATGAAAGTCGTTTCGAATTGTAATGGCAGTGTGCGATGCTATCATTGAAATTCCAAGTACCTCCTTTTTCAGCAGTATTCCATCTTTCTTGATATGATTAGTTGGGGATGAGAGCATACATCTTTCTGCGAGAAGACATTCCTGCTCCGAGTATTGTAAAAACATTGTTGTTTTGTACGACATTTGAATCCAGAGCCAGAAGGGCCATTCATAATGAAGAGTAAACACAAAAGCAGTTTAAGCGAGGTTCCATTCACATCGAGAAACCTAAAAGCACACTTGAACATAAAACGTCACCGCGGGAGTTCGCAATCAAAGATTTGAAGGCCGCGAAACGAATTCTGAAAACAACACATCATGTACTGCAGCATGACCCATAGACTTCTAGGGTTTGCGTTATAAAATAATGCAGTTTACAGGAGATTAAATTGCTATTTATTATTATCATTGCTAACTAAAGGTCAACCCGATCATTCGCTGTTCTTATGGCATACGATTTCATTATCTAAGCATTATCGAGCATTTTACTTAAATACGCTCTATTCCGCGTTACATTTCTACGCCGAGTATTTATTGCATTGATGTCGATGAGAGACGCTGTGTTTACATTGACCAACACTGAATGGTATGTTCATGTGCATGCACGTGTTTAAACCCCCACGTCTATGTAAACGATTTCATTGTACTCGTCAATGGCTCTTAAAGGCGAACTGTGCACTTGGCCCAGCGCAATCTTGTCGCGAGCTCTTGCGCCGTCAACTCTGCCTACGGCACTTTTCTTACAATTCAAGCGTGCGTGAAATTTTGACTGCATCCGAATTTGGTTGTACTCTTTAAATTGGTGCAAACACCGAATGTCCGTTACGGTGAGCCATCTAAAACTAGCAGCGCCCGAAGACCAAACTATATCCAAAATTTGAGGCTAATTAAATGCTCTATTCCAGAATTTTATGCTCTCTTTGATTTCTGAAAATCGTGGGCGCTGCTAGCTTGAGACTTAAGCAAGTAGCGCCCATCTTCAAAATTCGTTTCAAAATTAATTCAAAAATACGAAACCCTACCCCAAATTTAACGCTAATTTGAAGCTCTAAGAAAAAAAGATTCCCGAATTTTTATTCCAAAAATCACCACTGAACAAAGAGATATAATTTGCATGGTTCTTAAGGGTGATTAAACACAAAAATCAAAAAACCTTCCAAAAATTCTGAAACCCTATCCAAAATTTAAGGCTAATTTGAGGCTACAGGAAAAAAATCCCGCATTTTTATTCTAAAAGTCTGGACTGTGCAAAGAAAATATAACCTTTGTTCTTGTGGACGAACTAACACCAAAATCACAAAATATTAGAAAAATTCTGAAACACTACCCAAAATTGGATTTGGAGCGCTGGTAGCTTTAGATGGCTGTCGCGGTGATAGATCTTCGTCTGATCGACATGAGCCCCTGTTCATCGCTCGGCCCGCAGAGCGCTCGCGTTCAGCGGGTTGCATTGCACAGGCGCGGGAGGGCAGCCCAACAATAAGACACGCACCTTGGGGTCTGAGAGATTCAGACTTGAGAGCTGCATCTTGCGCGTGCACGACTTGCTCCAGTCGATGGGCAGGATGTTGCCGAAGTTGCCCGTGATCGTCCACCACATCCTGCAACACACGATAACACACTCTGGTTACAACACTGCGATTCTTTCGGGCGATTCTAATTGTACATAATTATTAATTACTTAATGATGATAATAATAATAATAAATAATAATAATAAATAATAAATAATAATAAATAATAATAAATAATAATAATAAATAATAAATAATAATAATAAATAATAAATAATAATAATAAATAATAATAAATCCCATACAATCCCTTCTTAACAAAGGACGCTTAAATATTTAGGGACAGCAGCAGAATTTGCGTCAGATACACCACTTCTGATGCTAATATTTTCTTAAACACTTCAGTACTGTTTACACACATACATACTTGAAGTTTTCGAAGATTTTTGTTACTTATATTAATTCTTATATTACTTTTATTTGTTAAGTTATCTATATTTTTTATTATTCATATTATTCTACGATTCCTCCAAGTGAGTCTTAGAGGATAAGGTCGGAAGACTAACTATGAAGCATAGCGTTTGTAAAGTTAATTTTAGTAGTTAACCAACAAGTTCTTATAGACTTCTCGATGAAGCTCGAGATGAACTTTTTCTTTATTTTAAACGTATTATATCAAAATAATAATTGAATATAAACATTATGTAATAATAACTGAAACGAAATTACCCTTGAAGTTATGCCCCCAAATCCATCACTGTGAATGGCATCCTTAGTGGTCAAACAATTAAATGGGTAGAGTTATTCACAGAAACGTCAGGGAATATCAAAGAAAAACGCACTACAAAACTATATTTTTGTATCAAAGTCTTAAGGAAGCCGGAGTCGCAGGTTGTACTATTGAACATTGAACCATGAAAGAAAACAAGTTATGATTTTTTTAAAATAAGAGGTGAAATAATATAATAGCTAATTAAAACGCGCGATAAATGACAACGAAAACAAGTTTGCGAAATTTTAATACATCATAACTGGATAAAAAAAACACGAGAAAATTAGCATGTCCTCACAAGTATCCCATTTGTATACCATAACAAATATTACATTAAAATTCTGGAATATAAAAAAGTAATTTGAATAGGTGTAAATTAAAACAAGATTTGATATAAATTATGTTCTATTGTATTCGAGAGAACGCAGTTCACTAGCAAAGTTTTAATCAGTTCAGTGGTTTAAACGTAATGTTAAAATCTAAAGCCACAATTTGCTCTATTTTAACGTCCGCTGCTATGGCCATAGACTTAATTCATAGTTGAGTGGAGTCAGTTGACTATATTCATAGATGAATCATTGCTATAGACTTGAAAATATGTTTACTTACGTAAACAACAATACACTTATGTTAATGTAATGATTGAAAAATCACAATTCTCTGTAAACACTTGTTATACATATACGTCATTGTAGTCGCTAATAACCTTTGTCATTGATGCGACCGAAAAATAAAGAAAAAAAATCATTTTTTTCTCTCTCAGTTATACTAATTTACACCTAGTTTTACAATCCTAAATTAACTGTTTAGCCACACAACCGATTGGAAGCAATTTAAACCGGTTAGAGAGTTAAAATAACTACTGATGTTGCAGGACAAAAACCCCGCCCGCTAACAAGGCGAGAGGAAAATCACCGCTCCCTCGTTAGCTCACCCGACTGAGGGGCACGAGAAGCCCTTCCCCTTCGGCAACTCCCCCCCCCCCCTCGTGGGGCGAGGGGCTGCGATCCCTTCAGGTGAAGAGCCTAACCAGACGCGGCGCCACGTGGAAACAAGAGGCCTGGGCTTCCCTAATTAAACACGAAATATCCTCCTCATTTAACTATATTGTTGTGTATACCAGCATTGTAAACGAACCTCTTGTAGCAAGAAATGGTTCATAATCGGGAAGTTTACGACACAAGTAATGAGTAACTAGACCGGCACGAATCATTGCGTCATCACACATTCAGACAACCGCAACGAGATAATTGTGGGGAGGTAGAGGTAAACCGAACAGTCGACCATAGTTTTCTCGCACAGATGTCAAATACCCGAAATGTCACAACAAAATTGTTTCACAAAATTAAGTTTAAATAAAGATTTATTTAGTCAAAAAAAAAAAAACAACTGTATGTGACGTGTGGGGGAGAAGATTAACTGCGCACGTTTTCTTGAGTACCAGAATCCCTTCAAGTTATTTTAACTAAAGTAGTTGAAAGATGAGTAAAAGTTTAAAATAAATAAATACAAATAAATTTTAAAAAGCGCGATATTTGAAAAACAAATTAGTTTCCGTTTGATTTTCTTATAAATTTAAAATGCCATCAAACAAAAAACAGCGTGTGAAAGTAGTTTATATCGATGATTTATTGCATTCATACAACTTTGAAAACTCGCTCCTAATGTCGCTCGTTTTCAAAACATGTACTCATGCAATCAGGTTTAACATTATAAACTAATTGCTTCAACTACTATTATTAACAGAAATCAGTAGCGCAACAAAACTTTTTTCTAGACGAAGGCTACAGGTGTAGTTACTCAGCCAACTTTATATTACGAGTATGTAACAATTTTTTGCTTATGCTGAATTTAAAATTTACTTGCATGTATTCATTTATTTATGACGTATTGAAGCCTGAATGAATTTCGTTGCAATATATAATCAATAAAAACAATATTTAGTTAATATAAGTCCACGGATCCTGAGGTGGGGAGGACTGCATGTGGGGTAGTGTAGTGCACGTAAGTGTTTGTGTAAGGAGAGAGGAATTGGACAAGAAAGAGGCAGGAAATATCGTGCCCGGTCCCTGGCCCGTTTGATAGGGCCCTGCCCCGGCATTCACCTGGTAAAGAGCGGGTATACCACCAAAATATGTCAATCTGCCAATCAGAGCACTCGGTCGATAGAGTTTTTCTCCAGCAGCTTAAATCGACCCTGTTATTAGGTAGTGTCGAAAAGCCTGCCACCGTCGGGACTCAAACCGTAGTACCCCCAGATCAGAACTGCTGCAGAGACCGCGGCAATGCTGCGTCTGAGCTAAACTCAGCCGCTTCCAGGCGAAATATTTGTAATTTGTAAGAGTTAGCCTTATGTCACAAATAAATCAGCAAATATCATTAAATTTTAAATTCAGCATTAGCGAAAAATATCAAGTCGGGGGTACGTTTCAGGATCACGCCCATGTCACGCACTCAACTGTGCTCATGTACGTAAATTGCTTTACACCAACTAACCGCCTTGCCTAAACACCAAATAATTACCTTATACCAATTGAGTGTCGTTTAGGCGAGCAGTGCTAGTTGATACACAATTCGCAAGACAGCGAATAAGTTACTGTAACCCCTGAGTATATCACGAAAGAGAATTCGTTGGAGATGACTGTCCTGTCTGGTTTGCCAGATGCGTTGCCAATTTCAAGACGATAGTACATACTACGAACGTCTTGGAAGAGTCTTGAACACGTCCCTTGTACAGTTCTTGCTTGTAAGTTATCTCAAACTTCAACCATTCAGGGAAGTCTTACTTAGCAAGTGTCATTTTGACATCTCCTTCAATTAGTTCCAAAAGACATAATAATGGTCGCAAGAATTTTTATAACACAGTCTTAGTGCAAAGTGCTAATTTGTCTTCTGCTTTGGACCGCATGTCACCCTGGACACCTTGCGTATCTTTGCATTCTTCTAAAGTCCAACACTTTGAAGACACAAGGAGAGCGATTGACTAGCGAGAGGCCGGCTTGCTACAAAACCGCTTTAAAGCATCAATTAAAAGTGATTTTCGAGACCTTGCAGCGTGCGCACCTCTAGTGCACACTCTTTATGCAAAATGAATCGATTTCGTCCACATCGCGATAACCGCGCACGGATAAACGTAAAGGTGAAGGGTCAGCAACAAAAGGTACGCGCTTGACCAAACGACAGACGACCACGCGCCTGCCAAAGGCACAGAGTTACTCCATGTTCCTGACATTTACATTGATTGATTGATTGTTTTGAGTTTTCGGGCGCTTCAACTGCTATGGCCATCATTCCCGTGAGTTAGTAAATATTTTAAAACGTATCTCGGGAGGTCGCTGTGATCTTACCCTGGTGGATGGTGAGATCCGAAGTCGTCCTACACATAGACTAACGGAGTTATCCCCAACCAGGTAGCTCCCACCAGCAGGACACTACCCCAGACAGGACTAGCTCTAAGCTCCCGATCGTGCGGTGGTGTAGTAAATGTTAGTGTAAGTGTGAGTAAGGGGGGGATAGGATAAGAAAGAGGTAGGAAAGATTGCGCGTGGTTCGTGGCTCGTTTGTTAGGTTACTGCAGCGGCATTCTCCTGGTGTAGATTGAATACACCATGGAAAACTACCGATTCGAGCAGCCGGCCGCTAGAATTCTCCTCCAGAAAGCAGCTGAATCCGACCTAGCTGACTAGCCAGCGTCGAAAATCCGAAATGACTCCGTCAGGACACAAGCCCAAGGGTTTACCCACCAGAGGCATTGTAGTGACATCACGTGTTGTCCTAAGGCACCGTAGCCGGTTTGGCATTTAGACTTCGCAGTGAAGGAAATGTAGACTTCGAACTGATTGATGTTTCCGGACGGAGCAAAAAAAAACATACAACGGTTATCAATCCCGTAAGTGTAGTGATTGGTATATCCCGGTAATTGGCGGTGATCCTTCCCTGATGGAAAGAAATATCCGGCGCCGACCAATACGTCGACTTGCAGGGGTTTTTCCAAACGACTGAGCCGAAATCTCTCTTCACGAAATCATCTAATGTCGAAAGCTTTCAATTTGTCTGCGTGTAGACTCTAAGCCCTCAATTGTTCAGATATTCTGTGACGTGAACCGTTTCTCCCTTTATCCCATCCATTTACTTCCATTTAACTAGTTTCTTGAACATCTATGACCACGGAATGTTTCCAACGCAACTGCTCAAAGGCAAAATACCCTCTTATTTTTTTAATACGTAGAGCATTATCCTAAGAGCAGCAAATTTGGAACATTGAACCACAACACCTGAACATACATATCTAAGGAGCAACGTTAAGGCGCCTTAGG